ATTATTAAATATATATAGAATCTCGAAATTTTAAAAATCCATATGCCAATTACCCCCCAAAAAATGCAACTTAATGCTAGATCCTAAAGAGATATGCTCCTTTTATTAACATTTTAAAAGAGAGAAAAAGCGCGTGAAAATAACCCTATCCAGAATTTCTAATTAGACATCTCGATCTCGAAACAATTTTCATTCTTCCTCGACCGTTCCTCCCCAGAAACCCCATAAATCTCGCGAAACCGAGAACTTATCGATCAGAGTTTCGCCGGCACGGAAATTCGGTGCAATTGGAGAAATTATTTTGCAAGTACCGGTACGCTTTAATTTCCCAGCGAACGTTGTAGCGGCAACTAGCGAACTCTCGCTAAACAGTTCACGCGAAGTTTCCTTTCAGGGAGCAAGTTGATTAAACGTTCCGCTTCGAGTGCACCGCGAGGAGATATACACGCACACTACGCCTATTCTCGGACTACGTATTATAACAGAGAAATCGAGACCGAATAACCAAATTACTCTTCTTCCCTCCGATAAGGTTCCCGACTATCGACACGCGAAGAAAGGCCGGATTCCTGAGAAGTTAGGGAGCACCAGTTGCGTGGGCGATTATCTGGCGCTGTTGGAGGACGTGGACGGGAAGATCTTCGAAATCTCCAAGTTCTGCGGAGAGGGTCACGTACCGAGGATCCTGTCGAGAGGAAGGAACATCATCGTGGAGTTCTTTGCCGAACAGGACGGCACTGTAATGCACGACGGCTTCCAGTTGTCGTTCCAGGAAACGGAAGAGGCGACGGGAGTGAAGCACGGCGAAAACTGCGAGTTCGTTTACAAAAGCGCGGAACGTACCAGGGAAAATATCAAGTCGTTGCAGAGTTGGTATCCACCGAACACGTTATGCAGCTACAAATTCATGGGCAGATCGTCGGAGAAGATCACCGTTCATATGAAGATAATCAGGAACGAGCCGGACCAGGAATACGCGCCGCAGAAACGGAACTTCAGTCTGAATTACTGCTCCGGAAACGAGATTGCGGTTTACAATGGGATCAAGGTGAGTAAGCATCGAGGTAACGTAAGAAATTAACGGGTAGCGTGGTGTAGCTAATAGCTTCGCTGCCGCCATTGTTTTATTTCATCGGTCCAACTTTGTTTCTCAAGTGGTTCCCGTTCTTCGAAGGATGAATAAATTATGGAAATACGACCTTTGATTTTCGTCCTTGTCGCGCACGTTTTGTCATTTATTTTACAGCATTGTTACGTATCCTCGTGATTGTACGTACACACAGTTTCCATTTCGCTGTTTTGCAAGGGGGATGAAAGATTCAGTCGGTGCAACTGTGCTTAACACCAGAACTACCAGAACCCAGTGAAAATGACTGGTCCCAGAATTTTCCTTTTTGCAATCACCGAACACATACACCTGCTTTAAGAATAAAATTGGTATCAACTCGTATTAACCCTTTGCACTCGACGACTTTTTCGTTACAGAGAAATAGTAATTCGAAGACTTTCTGTCGTAGAGTCGACGATATTTTTAAAATGGTAAATGAGAAATCATATGCAAATTAAGACGTGGAATTATTTTTCTTCGACATTCCACGCATCGTTAGGTAATTTTAAATTTGATATATTAATTAACGTCGATCTTTAGAATCTGACTAAATGGTGACTGAGAGTCATCTCTCGTATGCAAAGGGTTAAGAAAGAACTGTAATCAATATATACACTCATATTCATCGTACCGCTGAAATTACTATAATCTATGCACGTTATAGTTAGGTACTCATTAGATCGGTAGTTCTACTGTTAATTACTTTGGATTGATGAAATCAGTGACTAAATTTTCAGTGCTGTTCTTACTTTCTTTTCTCTATACGAGTTTTATTCAAATTGGGACATAATTATATACACTCGTGCAGTTTCATTTCACCATTTTAATTATTATTCTCTGTGTATATATATTTATAAATATGCAATCGGATTACAACGAGGATTACAAGGCTTTGATCCCTCGTTTATTTTAAACACTACGCAGCTCTCGTTGATGAAAACATTTTTACATTAATTTTATATTAATTCTTTATTTACTTTCACCAACACCAATATTATTCCAGCCATTCCATCCCTAATATATGGGACAAAATCCCAATACGCGAATATTCTCTCTCGTTTTTCCTCTACACCATTCTTCTTCCCTTCTAGATGGCACAATTCCTGTTATGCTAATTACAAATTGCAGCTGCGTTCGCTTCGCTGCAATAAACATGACAATATCAAACTTCCAGGCAAACAACAGTATCTTGATGTGGTCCTACTGCGACGTGTCTCATCAGGACATTAATAACATACAAGTTCCTCTCACCTCCAGTGGAAACGAATTGTTGATACAATACTACAGCGCGAAAGGCTCGTACGATGGCCAAGAGTTCACTTACACGATATCCTACAGGTTCATCAAGAAATCGCAGAACTCCACCACCAGACGCCAAGTTCAGAACGATTTCAAGCTAATCTCTCTCAGGCCAGTGAATTTTTCAGCGTTGAATTTGAACGAGAGCGAGAACTGTAACTGCGATTTTGGCGACAGAATCGGCAGCTTTAAAAACTGGTTCATGGTACTCGTTGTCCTAGGAATAGTCTCCTTCCTCGGAGCCATCCTCACGATAATAGCTCTCCTTGCCAAATGCATAAAAATGAGGTCGATGGAGAAGAAACTGCTGCAGACCCCGAAACTGTAAACTCGGCCAGACTTTGTACGACTTTTTCTATCTGTACGAATAAAGGAGATTTTTTACGAATCACTAGACCTAGATCTGCACGTGTACTCGCTTGGCTAACGTTTCAACGTTCTCTCTGTCCATTTATCGACGGTCTCAATGCGATCTAGTAGAACCGAATAGACGTAATGGCTTTCGAATTTTTATAACTTCAATCAAAATAAAGCTTTAGGATTAAACACTTAGAATTAAAGAATCGCAAATTTGGTATCGTTGATGTTACTCTTGATATAAGATCATTCGTCAGACATTTTTGGAAAGGTCGAATACCTTGGAAGCTATCTTCTTTAAGAGAAACGAAGGGGAGGTCCCTTAAAACTAAATTTATTTGCTAACACACGTTTATTCGGATGCTTTCTTCTTGACAAATTTTTAATAGTGTCTGTACACGAAAATATTTTTCATTGACACTTTGATTATTTCAAATTTCACGTTAACAATGAACAAATATCGATATTTTAATCGACTTTGGATTGGTCAAACGGTCCTTCCTCTTTAATTTTTCTACTGTCACGAGCAAGAGAAATTTCGTTACAAAAGGTATAACTATATTTAATGATTCATAGAAAATCGATAAATCTAACAGCATAGTAACATTTAAATCAAAAACTGGGTTGAAAAAAAGATCAAGGTCTCACCGAGATTTGAACTCGGATCGCTGGATTCAGAGTCCAGAGTGCTAGCCGTTACACCATGAGACCTTGTGAATTTTTTCACCCAAGGCAGAGTAGTGTGTGTTTGTAAATAAATAAAACATCGTGTAGATTGGTAACGATCCAACATCGAGAGAAATAAATAACAACTCTAGCTGAGATACATCGGTCAAATCGATTAGTTATCCAATGATTTGGGACAACATGTAAATAAGCATAATCCTCGACATACATATCTAGCTAGACGAACGTAAGAATATCGAATTGTTAACTTGAAAACGAGAGAAAGAGAGCGAGAGAGATATAGGGAGAGAGTAAGAAATATACATGCGATAAAAATTGATATGGTATACTACTTGTTAGAAAACATAAGGAAATATCATCGCTTAAGGAGACAGCTTTAAGAGATTTTTTTTACCAATAAAGATAAGAAGCAATTATTTGTTCGTTATGGAGTCTGATGTAGCTTAAGTGTTACGTTGCAAAAGAGAATAAACGTCGCTTCTGTACAATACGATAATCAAAAGGAACGTGTAAATTCGCTAGTCCATGTAACATAACGCATTTTTCGTTGAATAAATGCTGTAACATGAACACTTCCTGTGTGTGATCAAACGCCATTATTGGTTGTCAAGTGTCGTCGAAAGGTAAAGGGTTTCTTCGTGCATAAATGCTGCGTTCATTTGGTGCTCGATTCAAACCTTGAATTATCGGGTCTAAACGAATGAGTAAACAGCTTAGGGAGTAACGTAAATTGTCATAATGGTCGCAAGCGTCAAAGGATTAACGTCCATTGTACATAATTTATCATAATCAAACGATAACAGTCACATTCCTGTATTACGATGCTAATTAAAGCTAAATGATATATGATAATTAAAGCCATATGACGTAACCAAATACGAAAGCATGAATATATAAAGAAAGTAAAAATGCGAAAAGATTGAAAAAATGAAATAAAACAGAAAGAATCGTGCAGACTGATAAAATCAAAATTTTATTCGATCGTAATGATTTCATGGAGGATCTTGAGGGTCTACGTTTTTATAATAACGATTGCGTGCAATGGAAGTAATTTCGGTGGATGAAGAGATAAATAACGAGCACAGGGAAAATGAAAATTCGGAAATAACTCAATTCTGCTACAAATGACAGAGGGTTAGCGAAAATCATAGGGAAGTGTGCTTGGAAAGGGAATGAAATACGTGTGAACGAAACACTTGGCGGGTAATGTCTTGTGAGATAAACTATCGCACCATTTATTGCATCTCGTGATGAAAGCTTCGGTTTGTAAGAATTTGGGAGAATGGTCGTAAAATTACGTGACGCAAATGATTATCCAAGTAATTATTTCTGACGGATAAATACTAGTGAAAATTACGGGGATAACCGTCGCCCAAACTACTTAACATATAAACTGCGCCATGAATAAATATAGTCTCTGAAAAATGTTTAAATTTAAACAGAAAAATTGACCATTGATCATTTTTATTTACAAAATTATTCTATCGAATGTACAACGAGATTCAATATTTCATTACTTACGACTTATGGCATAGATTTTATTCTATTTTTAATTCTTCTCCGATCATGTACATTAAATAATAAGGACAATTATAAAAAATAAATAAAATGACAACAAAATAATATAATAATATGCAAAAATTGGCACTGCATATTTAGAATTTTATTAACGTGATTATGGATATCGTTAGAATGTCGAAGAGAATTAAATTAAACGTGATTGTGTTAAGTGCCTGTTCACAAGCTATCGTTAAAAGGCCCGAAAGTAAAACATTTTTCCAAATGCTACGTAAGTATACGATAAATTTTTGTTGAGTTGATATCAATCATCGAATTTAAAGTATTATAAAGACGTTTCAAATTTCCAGTTTAATTTACGCGCTTCGTTTATCAAATTTTTTCATTAAACCGCAATCTAGATTAATTTGAGAGACGTTTGGGTTGACGCATAATGCGAGACGTGATGAAGAATTTGCAGCGACAGTAATTGGATGTTGCGCAAGCAATGATTTACCGGAAACACATTACACTGGCTCAGTCAAGGTATGAATCAGCACTTCTTTGTGTATTCTGCTCGTATTTCATAAAGCGAGAAGCAAGAAAGTTAAAAAGAGAACGTACAGTGATTCATCTGCGGTGCCAAACAATAATTTGTTAAAATGTTCCTACTCGTTTCGTACACGGTGTCACGAGAGTGTTATCGGACGTAGGTTTCTAAGTATTAATTTTTACTGTCCTCGCATACATATTCACGTATCTCCGTCGAGTATCGAATTGATCCACGTTTATAACGGTGGAGCATATTTTTATAGAAAAGAAGAGGAAAAGAAAAAAAAGATGATAAGGAAAGCAACTTGTAAATGTGATAATATTTAATCCAATTGTACGCCCACTAACAATAAGCGACCTACGACGTCATGTAATAGCGTTAAAATGCTCGAGCGATGTGTAATTGTGTTAACTGAAATGAACACACCCTCATAATAAAAACAAAAATAATACTAATTGTGTACGATCGTGTGGTCACCTTCATTTTGACGTTACCCAATGATTCATTCTTCCCATACAATGTTTCATATTCCTTCGTTATAGTAAAATAAAATTTGATAAATAGACAGTTAATTGCAATTTAAAATAAAAGTTTCCTGCTAAATAATGGTATAATAAAAATTAGTATATTTGCTGATTCATATTTTTTAGATATTAATGATAAAAGTTATAAAAATAAAATTCATTTTTATAAAAAGTTTTATTGTTAGAACCTCAATGCATAAATTGAAAGAGGTAATATAGTTATATTCTCTATTATTTATTTTTGTTTTCCTAATTTGTTTGTTATTATGAGCAATTCAGATTAACATATCAATCTTTGTATCATAAAATGTTAAATATTTCGCAAATATGTTTGATCCGTTTAAATTTTTTCTGCCTTTTACGTTTCCTGAATTTCGCCGATAGATGTCGGTTGCATGATCTTCGTATTCCTTTCTGCGCGATCGTTTGCCAACGGTATCGATTCGCATGCACGTAAAGTTAGTAGTGAACTGCAATTCACCACAGGACAGTTGTGAAAAATTGTGTAGAAAATTCGAACAGAATGGCGAGAATAGCAGCCATAAAACAATCTTTGGAGAAAGCGTTAAACGACGAAAGTAAACTATGGACAAAATACCTCGTCAAAGTTGAAAAGAAAACAGGACTTGATCGGCTTTACATTTTTCTAAGTATGAACGATTGAAGTATTCTATGAACTTTTTGTGACAGTTTTTCTCACGCTTGTATAAATTGATTCGTTATCTCTTTACGTAATGAGAATTTGCCGGAAATCGCTTTTGTGAACATAATAATTCATTCGCAATCCTCAATTTACATGTAAAAATTTTTGAATTACGCATATTTTTTCACGTGCATTCCAGTACCCCACGACGTTATCGTATAAAAATCTTGACGACGTAGTTATATTATAAAATAAGGTTTCACAAAACTGTTTAATAGTAATTGAATATTCATTTTAACAATGACAGGCAATTTCACGTTTTAAACGAATACAAGTTTTCCACGCAATTACAAAATTTTTATATCATATGGACAAATTTTATTTACAGTGATTAATTTTATTTAATGTTATTATAGTATTATTTTCAATTTTTAGGTGTTGTTGGATTTTCAGCTTTATATTTGGTATTTGGAATCGGTCAACAGTTAGTTTGTAATATCTTTGGATTTGCTTATCCCGCATATTGTTCTATGAAAGCCTTGGAAAGTCCAAAGAAAGAAGATGATACAAAGTGGTTAACCTATTGGGTTGTTTTTGCTGTTTTTACCATTGTTGAATTTTTCTCAGATTATATTTTATGCTGGTTTCCAGTTTATTGGCTTTTTAAGGTATAACATTTTATGAAATTTTAACTTATAATAATATTCATTATAAATATATAATGTAAATCATATATATTTATGATATTGTTTTTTACAGAGTCTCTTTTATATATGGTTAATGGCACCTATTGAACGTAATGGCTCTTTAGTATTATACCATTGTATCATTAGACCAAACTTTTTAAGATATCATCACAAAGTTGATGAAATAATATCATCTGCTCAGGATGCTGGTATAGTTATACTAAGACATAATATACGGTTAATATCTACTATACTCTATTAAAAACTTTTTTTCATTTCAGCAGTTAAAGCTGCAGCAAATGCTTTATTAACAGAGAAACAAGATTAATTTTTATAATTTTGAATTCATGGGGCTTAAATTTTACAAAGTGCCTCGCAAATTTTTAATGTTTCTGTCTCTTCAATCATTCTTAATAAAAAAGGGAAAATGTATTTGACAGCTTTAATTTCCTATATACTAGATTTATAGTATTGTGAATGTTATAATCGACTGTGCCTATTATTCAGATGCTGCTCTAAATATTTATAAAATCCAATTACACATGGTATTATGCCTGTTCTACATATAAATATCTGTCATGTAACAAATATGGTATTTAAAATGCAAAAGCTTAGAGCGACTATTTATAGTGATAATTTTAGTCTTTTATATCTAACATGAAAATTTTGAGATAGCATAATCCAGTTTTAAATAGACGTAAAGACTGTGTTACTATTTTCTGCTTAAGATGAGCATGTTTCGCAAAAAAAATGGTAGTTTAAAGTTGTCTTACGTTGCAAGGGTTATTAAGATAACTGTATCAAAGTTCCGATGAATTACAAATTAATAAATTTAATTATATTTGCAAGGCAATTCACAATCTTAATGGCTTTAACAAAATAATTTCTACGATACCATTTGTAATTGGATATTGATGTTTTAAACGTTTATAAGCACCATCTGTGCAAAAGTTTTCTATTATATAACTATCTATAAAGATATTTTTTATGCCATATGATATTACAATCATGAATGCGGTGGATATTTTTAATATTGAAAATAAATGTATGCTGATTTGCAAAATCACTGAATGATCAATCTTTGTATAAAATATATAATACAAACGGTGAGAATTGTAACATTGTAAGTGAAGCCTTGTTTGAGTAATATAAAGATTGAAAATATAAACAGGAACACTATATATATATATATCAAAACATGTGTATCATATATGAATATCAAAAGTTAATGAATTCTAGCTAAGCGCTAAATTTTTAAAGGGATAAATTAGATATTAAACTTGCACAAATATAGAGACAAGCTTTTATACAAGATTTAAGTATATCTATAGCATCAAACTTTTATTCGAATATACGTTAAAAATATTGTAAGTTGTTAAATGAAAATAAGGGATCAGATGAGAATGAAACAGACCCCTGCGTACGCATGATGTGACTGACCAGCCATGCTTTAACACTCCACTCTAATACTTTGTCCAATTTTTCTAATGTATTGTTTCTGTTAATGGATATATAATTTCACAGTGCTTTCTTTATGTTCATCAAATATTAAAATTTGAGTGCATTTTGGTGCCATACATACTAAATTGTTAGTTACATTGTAATCTGATATATATAAAAATGGATTGTTCGCATATATTGTATATAAGAAATAATACATGTATTATACATAAACTATAGATGGAAGGAATGAGGTCACGACAGTGAAAACCAAATCCGTGATACTTTATATCTTTTCTCGACTGGTCAGCCGCACCTTAAACAACTTCGCTAAGGCGTCTCACAAACTTGTTATTACTTCTATTGGATATAGAGGCCTTAGTCCTACGTTAATGTTACACTTAAATAGAAATATCTATTGGGACGTATTTACTAATAATTTATTTCATTATACTTTATCCAATGGAATTAAAAAGACGTAATTATATTTAAGTATACGGAGTTATTATTGGTCGATAGGATTTTAATAAATGTGTTGTTAGATTATTTCAATAAAAATGGTACGTTTTATTTTATATCCGTCCGGTTTTGATACAGTATTCGAAACATTGATATGTTACAAATGATAATCTGTTTCTTCAAGTGTACTTCTGCAATTGGTGTAAAGATATAATTAATGAGATAGCATATGCAAATAATAAGTAAAATAACAAAAGTACGTACATTTCCTTGAAGTGCAATTTCTCTGCTGTTAATGCCAGCTTTCTAATATTTCGAATGGTTGATGCTGCGGCGATTTGCACTTCGGGATCATCTGATCCCACCAAACGTAGTACATGCTGAAAATATTTAACAAATACACCAACAATTGCAAAGCACACGGAAATTATTCAATGATAAATTGCTTTAAATTATTTTCAGTAAAAATCTTCTAAATTTATTAATAAATTATAACGAAGGTATTTCTATTATTGTAACATGAAAAGCCAATGTTATTGCATGCCTTCCGCATTTTTATTTAAATCATTTTCTTATATTTGTTAAACTATTTGTAAGTAATTTAAACTAACTGCATCAACGCATAATATGAAATATTTATTAAATGAAATTGATTATTATACCTTTATAACACCAGCAGAATGCATGGTAACACAGTTCATAGGCTCTTTACTTAAATAATATGCCGCTATGCAAACTCCCCTAAGAACATCTTTATTTTTGCTAGTCATGTAATTAATCAGTGGCGCGACCGCGTTCAATTGACCAAATTTATAGTTATTCTCTCCCCATTCGCAGCAATGAGCTATGGCTAAGGTCAAATTTGCACGCAAACTTTCATCCTCCTAGAAAAGGTAAAGCAATAAGCGAAAATGTAATATTTGTTATTAATCGATGAATGTTTAAAATTATTTAAGAAGGAAAGCCTATACTTTATCCAATTTATTAAATATAAATGTTCTATATTTTATATATTAGAAAAATTGTAACAATAATTCTGAGACTCTGTACATTTTTTCTAATAACATGTATACTTAACGATTTTGCTATCTCTCGAACTAAAAATATTTAATAAGAAAATACTCATCACCAATATCAACATACTATAACATATTCCTATTAACATGACACGTACATTCTATCGACCACTTTTCATACAGATATCTCAAAACTATTGTATAAGTACATCCTTAAATTAAAATATTTTTCTTCTTTTAATCAGCCAATAAACGTGTCGACAAACAAAAGAATTGAATTCAAGAACAGAAAACATTTCCATTTCCACCAAAGAAGTCCAACATTCTGCTCGTTCCAGATATCAAAATCGACCCAAGATCTTCCAAACGAATTAGTCAAAACCACAGCATCGAGGATCCTTCATTTTCCCAAATAGAGTGTATCCTGATTAAAAATTAGAAGAATTACCGTGCTCACGAGCTTGGTCAGTTCATCCACCACACCATGGTCGCTAAGAATACCTAAATTCTCTGGATCTTTAGCGATTTCAGCAATAGTGGCGCACACCGCGCTGAGTACTTCGGTGTTGGAGCTTTCAAGAAGACTGACAGTAAGCTCCAATCCACCCACGAATGCTCGTACCATTTCCGGAGAATCTTTGGCATATTTGATGCAAGGCACTAATGCAAGACAGGAGTTTCTCTTTATCGTGTCGCTGGGATGCTTCAGCAACGACCAGACTAATCGAACACCGTCGTTCATGTGTTCCGGATCATTGATGATGTCCATGCATTGTTCGTTCTGCGCGCACTCTTTAATCACCAATGGTATGTTCTCTAACAAAGGCTCGTATGTGGAGCTCAATAGCTTGATCTGCACAGTGATTCAGAGTTTATTAACGCTATTATTACGTTGTTTACTTATTACGATTATACTTGTTTGATTGGAATTGATCATTTAAAAGTACACTAAAGAGAATTAGATAGCCACGGTTTTTTTCCACTTATACTATATTTGAATTTGGCATACTTTATATTAAAATTTTACAAAATTTTTCATCTCGAGAAGCTTCGTCGATTCGAAATTATTTAAAAGTTTTTAATGGAAAGAGGAGTAATTGTGAATAATCAATGTACAATTCGTGGTCTCGACGTTAATCGAATATTTGATCATTTACACTCGGAGAATTTTTCGATTCGATCCATCACACTTTTGAAATAATCTAAATCTCTGAGAATTTATTTATACAGCAGTCTTCTCATTTTTATTTTTGAAAGTGAAATAAAATATCAAATTGCAGATTATCCATGTGTCCATTATCACGTCATTGGAATGCAAAGTGTTAAGTAAGATTTATCTTTAATACAGAAATATCTTCGTTAAGTAAATGTAAAATTACCAGGTTTGGTAGACCATCATTAACTCTTAAAACGTCTCTGTTCGCAGGATCTTTGCAACATTCTGCCAGTGCTCCAACAACGTTCGCCTGTACGTCCTCGTCTTCGTGTTCCTCCAAAAACGGCACCAAAGAAGCAACTAGGCCGTTTTGATTGAACCTCACCACGTTCTCTTTACTCATGGCACATTTCCATATGCCACCTGTGATGGCAGCCAGCAGTCGTTTATTAGCACGAACCTCTTCGTCTTGCAAAAGCTTGCACATCAGGTCTAAACCAGATGTTTGACGAACCATGTCTCTGGCAACTTTGTTAGGACCACACTTAAATATTGCCAAAGCGCAGTTTTCTCTCAACTTAACATTATCGCTTTGCAGGTGCCGTATAACGTCTTGGATGATGTCCGTATTCTCGAACGATTTGCGAAATATGTTCTGCAAATATGAAGAAGATCCGACGTAGTTCTGTAAGTGTTTTATGTGAACCTTTTGAGTAAAAAAATTGAAATTGCGTTCGTTATCTTTTTATCGTGATAAATACACAATCAGTATTTTATCATTCTCATTGAAATTTCAGGACCGTTAATAAATTTATGAAAAGATTGCAGTGAAATTGAGTTAGAAACAATGAGGATTAAAATATATATATATATTTTTTTATCGTTCATATTTTTAATTAAAATTTAAAATCAAATTTTAATAGTTGAGGATTATAAGATAATGAAATTTTGGGTCAGTTTTTTGAGATAAAAGTTTTAAATATTTTAATATGTAAAAGTTAAATTATTTTACTCGAATATTAAAATTGTGAAATATTCAAATTTTCGTATATGAGAGTTTAAAAATGAAAATTTCAAGTTTGGAGTAAGGTTTTGATATTTAAATTTCGCTTACCTTGCTCGCACACTGCTGAACAGCACCCATCATGGGTATAACGAGGGAAGTATGATGTGATTTCAGAAAACGTTCCATATGTTTTACCACGCCGTATTTGTGTAACGCATCTTTCACTTTCGGACTACTGCTTATGGAATCTAAAACTTTGGCACAGGCTATAGCAACTGCTACCAATTCCTTGTTTGCTTCGTTCAAATCGTTATATGGTGTCCGAAGAATAGCGTCTGGTACATCCATCACATCTAACTATTGAATATTGTAATTTTTCCATGAATTAAAATCCTCATTGTGCAATTTTTCGAAACTTTCGTCAAATTAGAATACAAACTTTCGTAGAATAAATATATCTTAGTTAGGAAGGATATAGGCTAAGATAACTCACTATCAGTGGTATACCGTCGCGAATTCGTATTTGCTTCCTCGCTTTTCTAATTCGTGCAATGATAGCCATAGTTTCCGCAGCTAGAACCTTCGTAACAGTAGAACGAAACATTATCATAGTAATTTTAAGAATGAACTTTTCTGTTATATCATATGACCCAATTCTGTTCTTAAATTGACACAATTCCTTGTACTAAACTTCGCTGAAATTAGAGTTTTTGATTTTGAAATGAATATTTTACTAGTTTTGTGGAGAAAAAGTGGTTCACAGTAATAATTATAATAAAGTTGACGTAGAATTTTGTGAATATACGTAATAAAAAAGTTCCTGTAATACAAATTCTTTCGATTTGATATCTTTGGAATACTTTTATGGGCCAGAATTCTCATGCAAACGAGCAGTCAGTGAATATAAGAGTGTGTATTGAACGAACGAAAGACTAACTTGAATGTCTCTAGCTGGATGCTTTAACATTTGAATCAACGGTGTTACAATACCAAGATCGATTAGGTACCGTCGCATTTCCGTAGACGTCACGATCTGAAGTAAAACTGATAAAGAGCCATTTTGACATTTCAAATCTCTCGTTTCGAGTAGGTTTACCAGGATTTCTAGACCTCCCATTTCTCGAATCGCTTTTTGTATAAGCTGTTATGGGAGAAAATTCAACTTAAATTCTATTTTCATAGTCCTAATATTCAAGTGAATATTAATATTATAATACTAAGAACAAATATAATAATATTATAATTGAACAAGAGTGGAAATAAATAAATTACCCTATTAGTCAAGTCGTAATCTTTCAAAAGGCAGACAGCCACCATGGTTGCAGTTTGATTGCCTGCTTTCATGTATCTGATAAGTTTCTGTATATGCCAAAACTCTGATGGCACTTCCGGTGCTTCGCTCTGCAGGTACCTTGCTTCGTCGTCGCTTTCTGATTCAGGTTCGTCATCTGAACTTTCTTCCTCCTTCTTTTCGCTGATGTAACGAACTCGAGGACCGAATGGTTGCCCTGTGACCGATGATATTAATGGCTTCGGTGGCTCGTCCGATTCGATTACCTCCGGGATATCCGGCTCGAGCCTTTATTCAGGAAGAGATGGAGAAAGATTAAAACGAAGGATTGTGATTACACGCGAAACACGTATTTTTTTAAGCGAACAAATATTAGAAGACTCGTGATGAATTTATCCAATTGCAAAGAGTCGTGATATTATTTTAAATATATCTCGATTCGTTGAATGGTCTCGCATAGTATTTATTAATTATATAAAGTAAAAGCTATGAAATGAAAAGTATTATCAAGCAAATAGAAGTGCGGATATTAAAAGTGCTGTAGAAAATTAAACGATTGCTCACAGTACTTTAATATGTCACTTTGACTTGATTATTATTTATCTAGCTTAAGTCTTTGTAGATAACGTTATCAAAAGTTGTGTTTAATTTTTTATTGACATAATATATAAATACACCAAGAAATTTTGTTTTTGAAACACTCGGTAATTATAAACTTACGTTGGGAGTGGCTCGATGGACATCTTTTTCATATCTTTTCCTTTTCGTTTCGGTGGCATAGCTCTCTATTTGTGATTACAAAGAACAATTAAAACTTCCTAATACCTGATTTTGCATAGACAAAGTACCTTTTTTGCTTGATGCTTCCGTACTAGGGAACTTGTTAACCTCTACGAAGACTTTGTATTTATTGATCAAACGGTTGTTTAGGATGTACGACTCATACAGATATTTATTCTGTAAATGACATAAAATTAATTCGATTTCGTTTTCCTTTTCGTATAATTTACTTATAAATTCTTATATACATTTTTCGAAAACAGATTTTATTTCAACGCTGTTGAAATAATTCGAGAAAAATTGAAACAGCTAATTGATACCATTAAAGCATGCTGTCTTTATATCCTAATTTTTCTAAATATTCTTTTTATTTCTGGATATTTATTTAATTCGTATTTTATAATTTCTTCCGAAAATCTACTATTCAGCCAGATTATATACAATTCGAAAGATTAATCTCTTCGTAAAATATCATTCACTGACCTGTATAAGTGACCGATTAATTGGACATATTTTTCTCATGTCTCCTTTTACACACGCGACAAGGGGCGAATAAAACGAAAATAAAGCCGGAAAGTTTAAAAGTGCATTTCGAAAGTGCGCACACGGAAATGGACGTTATATTAAATTATAAACTCACATGACAGGTATATGACGTTGCAGTTACTCAATGTAAAATATTCTGAACGTAGCGGTACTTTCGCGAACGGTATTTATTTTTCGTTTAAATGACAGTTCCGTTTCGATTCTCCCTGTTCAGTTCATTCCGCGTTAATC